TCGCCGCTTTTTTTGATGCTCGTGAGGCATTTTGCACTGGGCAAGCTGTCTGCTTCAGAAATTCAGGAGTTTGCAGACTGTGCGGTGAAATCTGGAAGCTCAGCAGAAGACTTGCTGAAACTGCAGGCCTTAGGAGCCCATGGTGAATCGCCACAGAACTGCCACAGAGACATTTCCAGGTGGATCTTCAAGAACATGTGCTCCCCAGAAAGCACCAGCATCAGAACACCTGTTCTGGTCAGGGAGTTGAATGGTGAGAAGAAGATGATGGAGAAGGACATCCCTGTGAACTTGCCCCATGCCTGGATCGACCAGCTCTCTGAGCATGGGTTTTTGGAAACAGTCATGGCTCCCGAAGCAGAAATCCGGAAATTCTGGAGCAAGCAGCTCTGGAAAGAAAACCCTCAGTTCCGCCAGGATACAAAGTACTGGAAGGCCATAGATTTCCAGGCAGAGGCCCCTATCCCACTCGTGCTTCACGGAGACGCAGCTCCATATTCGGAGACTGACTCCACGATGGCAATATCGATGCGATGCATGGTGAGCAATGTGAGTGTGCAGTTTTCGCAGCTTATGCTGGTGAACATGCCGAAGAACGCCACTGAGGACTGGGACAGAACTTGGGACCCAATCTGGAAGGAACTGTCGGAGTCCTTCAAGAAGCTCGCCGCTGGAAAGAGCATCTTGCAGAAACCAGGAGCTGTTATTATATATTCGAAGATATCATCTTGTTTTAAACAATAGTTGGCCTGACTGGGATCGTTTTCCATGTCTGGAAAGACACGACAGACCGCACCGAACACCACGATCCCACCCAAACCCATGTATGAATTAGGATTTTCGTTTTGGTGAGTGTATAGTTATAGGCTTGCTTTTGACATTTGGTGACTGTATCTAGTAGGTCATTATGGAGATACTATATATCAACCATACTCCCTGTCACTGCATTCAAGGCAAAGCGAGAAGACGATGTATTATTATGTCCGTCAGCGGCGACCTCGAATTTTTCTGTTCTCAGTTTGGCTGGCCCACTAGTGCTCGGAATGACCCATGTCCTTATTGCGAATGCACCAATTTTTTCGACGAGAGCAAGAACACGCATCCATTCAACGATCTGCGACCACAGGCTGCTTGGAGATCCACACTATTGAACCCTCGAGCTGAGGACCTGAGGCAGCACCACCTCTGGAGTGTTCCGGGGGTCGGCTTCTGGACGGTCAAACTGGATCTGTTGCATTTGATGGATCTTGGCATTTCTTGCCACATCTTTGCAAACCTGCTGTGCGACATTTTGGATACACTGCCAGGGAGCAGCTTGGAGGCCAGGTTGAAAGTCTTGAACCCGAAAATTTCGCAGATATATGAAGACCTGGAGATACCGACGGCTGAACGGTTTCCGAAATTGCTGCGAAGCAATTTGATGGCAGACACTGGATACCCGACTTTGAAGCACATCAAAGGCAGGACTGTTCGGAAGTTTTCGCCAGTAGCTGTACGGTTGGCCACGGAATATAGTGATGACTCGTCTACGAGATCTATGCACAGAAAAGCTTGTGTGGAGTGTTTGGACAAAGTGTACAGCATGGCAGATGAGAAGAAATGGGTTTTTTCTTCAAAGGATTTCACAGTTTTCGAAGATGCAGTGCAAGGAACATTGTCCCACTATCATTTCCTGGCGAAAGATGCATTGAAGAGGAAGCTTCTGAAATACAGCATCACCCAGAAGTTCCACCTCTTTTACCACTTCGGGCAGCAGTCAAAATATCTGACGCCGAGATGTGTTTGGTGCTATGGCCCTGAGTCGTACCTGGCGATTGTGAAAGCTGTGACTGCAAGCTGCTCTCGTGGAACTGCCAGCTACCAGGTTGTGGGAAAGGTGCTTCAAAAGTTTAGCCTGGCTTTTCACTTGCTCTTAAAGGGCTTGTTGGACTTCGACACTGAGAAGCCGGAGGACTAAAAAAGAAGGGTTCTGCAAACCCAGTGTCTGGATAGACATATATAGTCTTAAACTTTTTATTTCAGTGTCTGGATAGACAATGCAGGTACCGCCGCAGCCACCGCAACTTGTCTGCACTAGGGGTCAGGGGGGCAGGGGGGCAGGGGGGCAGGGGGCAGGGGGCAGGGGGCAGGGGGCAGGGGGCAGGGGGCAGGGCAGTGTCTGGATAGACATGTCGCTTGGTCCTAGTGTCTGGATAGACAACCTAAACCCTGAACCCTAAGCCCAAACCCTAAATTCATGTACGTACTATATAGCTTTGAGTGTCCGTGTTTGATGATAGGACTTTGCCGATTCTTCACAGTGTCTGGATAGACACGACATATGTAGCTGTATGTATATATGTATATATGTATATGTATATATATATGTGTGTATATATATATGTATATATATATATGTATTTATATATATATATATATATATATATATATTTATATATATATATATATATATACACATACATACATACGTATATATATATATATGTATATTTATGTATATTTATGAATCTATGAACTCACGAAAATGCTGAAAAGTACATCCTGTAAATGGCAGAAGAGATAATAGATATATGGTGTTTTTGCACACATGGGAGTGCCTAAAACACACTTCCGCGATTGATTTTTCTATTGATTCCACGCTTGATTTTTCTATTGATTTTAACGACACTCTGCGATTGATTTTGTCGCTATTGAAAAAAGCCTCTCTGCGATTGATTTTGGCCTCGTTTCAATCGGCGCTTGAAAAAATCAATCGCGATTGATTCCAACCAATATTGGAGCATATGGGTAGCGTAGGAGCTGGCAGCAGTTGTAGATTACAAAGCATGCCAACAAGACCCACGACAAACCACCTTGGGGGCTGACCAGCCAAGACCCGTGTTCCCAAACCAAGGCAGAAGCCCAAGGCCCCTCCATGTGGTGCGGGAGGGGTGGTTGCACGGAGTCCACCACCCGCACCGTGGAGCGGAGCGGCACGCCACCAGGAGGAGCGTTGCCATCTGCTTCACTCCGAGTAGTGCTACTGAGGTCACCATGGAAATCCATGGCTGCCAAGGATACACCTAAGCGACTGCTGTAGGGCACAAACCTCGAGAGGCAGTACTGCTTCCAAAGCTCACATTTCATGGACTGTTCCTATGCACACTCACTCAAGTTCAGGTCACTCAAGACGCATTCTACCTATCACAACATGTCGCTTCAAAAGTAGGCCCAAAGCCCCCCCCCCAGGTACAGACATCCCAAGCTGCAGCCTAAGAGCCCCAGAGAACCCCGAATCGCAGACAAATTGTAATGCAAAGGCCCACATTTGTGGCATCTCAGAGGATGCGTCGGTTTCGACCCCGCTTTCTGGGGAGGTACTCGGCGGGCTTTCCAGCCCCTGTGCAGATTCTGTGAGTGCAGAGTCCGGTAGCTAGGCTCGCGGCGGGAAGCCGCAGGCACTTGCCCCTTACAGAGCTCCGCACGAGATCAAGCCCGCGCGTGCCCAGTTGCAAACCAAAAAGGAGACATGTCTCTCGATGCAGGTCGCAAACAACATCAGCCGCGATACCATGTCATAATCAGTGTGCAGTCTCGGGGAACCAGCCACCAGATCAGGCCAAGGTGCTTCGCGAAGCCTTCCCATAAGGACCCGGCAGTATAACGAGCCCTGTAACTCAAAGGATGTACCCAGTCACTGAGGCGCAGAGCCGCGAGTCCCATGAGTACGGCCATGGAGCTACTCTGGGTGACTTCGGTCTGTAGGTTCTCAAGTTTAGGGGTAAGAATACGACACACTGGGTTAAAAGGACTAAGCTCCCCGTGACCAAGTCTCCCAGCAAAAACAGTTCAAGCAGCAAGCAGGGGCAAAGGCAAGGCAGTGCAGTAACAGTACTCAGGAAAGTCGGCAATTCAGGCAAGGTAGGGGAGGGCTAAAAAGGGGGGGGGGCCCAACCCGGGTGCAAAAGGAAGGAAACCAAGAGGAAGTTCGGGTCAGCCGTAGAGGCCCTCAATAGGGGATGGACCGAGAACAATAATCCAACAAGGTAAGTAAGTGCATACCCGTATTCTCCCAGACTATGGCTTCTGCAGTACAGTCAATACGTCCGGTCCATTCAACGAATTCAAGCTCTCGATCTCTGACCTCATCATCAGAACAAAACCAGTTGAGGAGGGCTTCAGGTCGGAGGGCCGGGAATTGGGAAGCCACACGATCAAGACTTTCAAGATAAACCTGAAGAGGAAGCAGACGTGTATAGAACCACCACCAGGATAATCTACAATTGCGAATCCAAAGACGAATCTCACCTGCAAACCAATATGCGACCCAAGCAGGCATGTTATTAAGTTTCTCAGCCAATTCCTCCGCAGTAAATGGGAGAAAAGGCAGGAGATGTGGGGGCTGGACTATGTCCAGTTCCCAGGAGTCAATCATTGTGCATGCGCTGATGCAAGACAGAGCCAAAGACTTCGCCCTACGAAGAAGATGTGCCCCAGTCGGAAAAAGAGGTAACCAACAAGAGGTCGAGCAAGAAAAGTTCTGTGCTTCCAACCCCTCCGAAGCCCCAATGCAGACTATGCATCCTCCCTCACTGCTCAAAGGACCCCGTCTTTTCCCGATCAGTGCTCAAGTAAAGTGCAAGGCAGGCAGAGCCCAAAAACAGTCCCAGTTCCAGTTATGTTACAAGGAGAGAAGAAAAAGGGCAATGCAGGCCAACCTCCAGGATGGCGAGGAAAGGCGCATTTAGGCCCACGGAGGAGGCGGCCCAGGCACTGTATTAGTGTCAGGCTGCGCGCCGGCACTAAGATGGGCCCGAATGACTGACAGGTGCATCATCACGTCAGACTGAAACTGGGGGTGCAGTGTGGTGTGGCTGCGAACTTCTTGACGGATGCGTTGCAGTCGCTCTTCCATGCCCTGGACAGCTCCCATCAATCCCTGTGTATCCATCTCAATGCCTTCCCTAATCATGCTCAGGTGTCCATTGATTTCACGTATGTCGCCTGGAGTGTCCGTGGTAACCGGAATCAGCGACTTGCGAATCAGAGCCTGTACTTTGATGAGGTCACTCATGGTGCCCCGCAGATCTTGGAGCTCCAACCCCAGAAGTCTGATTTGTTGAAGAACATCCTGTCGTGTGCGGTCCCAATTCTCCAGAAGCAGTGGCTGCAAGAAGCTCTGCGGCTCACACACCACCGCCCTGCGGTGGTCCTGTAAGAGGGCCAGTATGTTCTGCTCCAAGTGGCGAAAATGCTCCGAATGAGCATTGTTCCAGGCGTCCATTCTGCCCCCCAAATCCTCACACACACGGTGGAGCTCTAGGAGACCGCTTTGGATGTGAAGGAAGTGACGCCACAACGAGTGGGCTAGCCGCAGAACTCCAGAGCAGAAAAGCACCGCCACAAGTAATATCCATCCCCAGTTGGTCCCTGCGACTTCATCTAGGAGGCATGGACCAAGCCAGGTATCCATGGCGACGAACCCACACACGAGGTCCTGATAAGCCACAGACTCGGACACCAGGGGAAAGCTATCAGTGAAACTACAGAACATCGCATGTAATAAAAAAGATAAACCAAGGGTTTCCCAGGAGTTAAAGTAGGAAGAGCGGGAGGGCAGAAGACCCGCAAAAGACAGAAAGGAGAAAAAGAAAGGAGGTGCAGGACAAGGGAGCCTCAGAGACAAGGGATTTCGACCAGGCAGGACATGTGTGTTGCACACAGGACCCAGCCAGGCAGGCAAGGCAAAATCAGGAAGTGAGGGAGGAGTCGTCCAGCAGGGTATCCATCACCTCATCCTCATCACAATCAACAGGAACAGCAATGACGGGGGACTCCGAGACCCTTGCATGTCGTCCTTCCGCAAAGGCCTCTGCTAACCTGAGCTGTCGATGGCGATCAGTCGCGACAGGAGCGCCTGAACCAGAAACTGCCTGAATTTCACGTCGGCTGGGCAGCGGAAACCCAAGGTTCAGCAATTGCTCCGAAAAGTCTTCTGGAAAAGAAGACACGTGAATGGTGCAGAAAGCTACAACAATAACCCTGGACCGTCCTCGAATAACCGGGTTCGTATTACAATGCCCAGCATGGAGAAGTTTGCGTGTGTTGAGGAAAAGTGGGCGGTCTATTGACAAGACTCTGCCAGGCACCATCTTGCCCTTAAAAGACTTCCAAACATCCCCATCAGCATGCTGAACCCAAATGCCATCATCCAGGCCTAAAGTAGACAACCCCAAGATGCAGGCATCCATTGGGCCGTTCCTGATATCACGGTGTGGTGTCTGGGTACAGCCTTCTCGAATCACCAGAGTAGAGTAGCGGGCTTCAGGTGCATGGGCCCTTAAGAAGCGATTCAGGGCGAGCGTAAAAAGAGGCATACGGTGACTAAAGGTGACAAGATCATCCCTACTCCTCGGGGAGGCCCCAACTACTACATGCCTTCCTCCCGGGCTGCGCTTAAGCGCGCTTCGAGGAAGAAGGTCAAACAAGGCAAGGATATCAGATTTACAGGGGGGTTCACTTCTCCTGAGGAGATGCCAGGCTTTGGACTCGACGGGACGATCTCTTCTATCCGCAGTCAGTAGTCTACCATGGTACTGCAGGTAGAACGGGTCAGAGTCCTGAATGCGGGGGGTCCTAACTGTCAACGCATACCGCTGCTCCCTGCTGAGACGACAGGCAAACGACCGAGTCCACATCATCGTCACCGGAAGATAGACAAAGGTCGAGGGACTCAGGAGGGGGAGGTGCGAGATGAGCAAAGCGCATAACTCCTGGGAAAAGTCTCACAAGGCGACTTGTTTAGCATCAAGCTTCCCTGTGAGCCGAGTCCCTGCAGTCATTTAAGGTGTCGTCCTGCCCCCCCCCCGTTTGCAGCTGGGCAAGAGCTGGTCTCGAGCCAAGGGGCACAGCCCAGGACCTGAATCAGACAGCCCGTCTATGCAGGAAGCCAGGAGACCCGAAGTCGCCGTCGCGTACTAGGGCCGTAAAGGACCCGGGGAAAGGTCCCACGGGCAAGCATCTCAGAAATGCGGGGAGCTTGGAAAGGTCGGTGCCCTTCCACACCACTGTGCGACTCAAAAGATCAAAGCGGTTGTCCTGGCTTTCAAAAGACGAGTGCCACGATTTAGTCGCGAGGGTGACCTCGCCGCTAAGCAGGCTACTGCCCACGCACTCCGGGGGCACGACAATTCGAACATCCATGTGAATGCCACTGATTTTGTGAATTAACCCAGCCAGATTCCAGAGGTGCAAGGCCCTGGATTGTACGGAGTCAGAGCCTGGCGGGTGTTGTTCTTGTACAACTAAGGCCGCAGCCGGGGAACGAGAACTAGGGACCACAACTACTGAGACACCGACTGTGTTCATAGAGCACCACAAAAGCGGACCTTGAGGTAGGGTCTTAACCCCCTGAATGATGCACACCGAGGACGTGTAGGCCTCATCCGGAAAGTACCTGAAGGGCCTAAGGACAGCCTCAGAGTTGTCGATGATGAGAAGCTGTCGTCCCAAGAAATCCGTTGAGGGGGGCCCTTGACCCCAGTGTTTGCGCCAAGAGTCGAGCAAGTTCTGCCATAGTGGCCTGTCCTGTGCTGCTGACTCCCACAAGGCCGGGTGCCCAGATTCCCTCAATTCGGCAAACACGAGCTGAAGTTTACGGGGGATCACGTTAGTTACCCAGCCAGGCAGGGAGCGACCTGCCATCAGGCCAACATTTCCGTACTCATGCATCAGAAACCTGAGGGGGGTGGAGACGACATTCCTAGCAGCATGCCCCCAGTATCTCCAGACTTGCTTCAGCCACTTCTGATCCCACGATTCAAGTTTGAGGACATGCAGGACGCACTTAACAGCTCTGCGTTTTGCCACGACGTTGTGAAGGAACTCCCCAAAGAAGTCCGCCCGGAATCCCAGAAGCCCCAAAAGTAGTGTCGTCTGGTGGCTGTTCAGGCTTCGCAGGGAGGCCTTGGTGGGCCAAACAAGACCACTGCACCACAACCAACGAGAAGTCACATACAAGTCAAAAAGCTGAATCTTCTTAATGGCAGGAAGAAACCTGGAATTAAACAGGTTCCGCATCGCGAAGAAAGTGTTGGAGCATCTGCCCAAGGCCCTCCCAAAGCATGTCATGGGAGCAAAGTCAAATTGCAGAGGCACTCCCAAGTAAAGGACAGATGCCTCAGTTTTGAGCGGGACACAATGTCCGCGGAGAAAGATCCCGTGCCCGATCCCTTCCTCGGTATCCAAAACCGAGCACTTAGCCACGTTGACACGTAGGCCCAGTGTGGCCAGCAAGTCGGCGACTTCCTGTGTCATTAGCTGCAACCTGGCCGCAGAGGGCGCGATTAGCAAAACATCGTCTGCATACAAAAGAAGGAAGGGCAAGCGCCAATCCGGCCAGCGATGCTCCCAAGTGCGAATCAGGGGTCCTAAGAACCAGTCAAGGACTCTGCCAAAGAGGATCGCACTATAAGCGGTCCCTTGTAGGAGGCCTTGCTTAAGGGGCACGGACCACGCCTTTGAGCCCAGCCTCATGTTCACTTGGCAGCTAGAGCAGAGCTCCCAGAGGAGCCAAGCTTCCCTGGAGGGCTTGGTATGCCGCAAGAACTCTAGAACAGCATCTAAACTGAGGCTGTCAAAAGCCGCCTTTACGTCCAGTTTAGCGATGACAGGCCGGAGTTTATACCGGGATACTGCGAGTCGCATGGTCATATGAGCCGCTGCTACTCCATCAACTGTCTGAACTCCCCTTCGAGCTCCAAATTGTCCAGCATCAAAGGGAGGGAAGCGATCCTCCAGCCTGTTCAGAAGGAGCCTCGAGTAGACTTTGGCCATGCATGGTGTGAGAGCAATAGGACGCAAGTCTGACGGCCCTTTGGGCTGGGGGATCTTAGGGAGCAAGACAACATTCCCCTCTTTCCATGACTTGGGGAGGGGGAGCGCACCAGACAGGAAACGATTGAAAAGACTCAGTAGTTTGGGTCCATGATCCGAGATTGCGTAGGCGTGGAGGGCTTCGTAAGGAACACCATCTTCACCCGAGGATGTACCCTTCTTAATTTTCCCAGTTGCAAGGACAAGTTCCTTCAAAGTGAAGGCGGTACAAGGGGCCTCTACATGAAGGTCTCTAACCGCAGCCACTTTTCCAGGGTCTGCCCCGGCCCCACTAGAGTCGTACTTCTTATGGTAAAAGTCCTGAAGTTCAGCGGAGGCCTCCTCCAAGCCTCCTCTGGCCTGGATGTAAGAGCCCGCAACCTTAGTCTGAGACGAGCTTCGTCGCAAATACGAGATCGCCGCAAAGTCGCCCGACCGGGCTCTCTCTAGAATCTGCTTACGGTGATTTTCTTGGTCCAAGCACCTCTGTTGGGTGACCTCCAAAGCAAGGGAGGCCCTCAGAACGGGATCGGAGGCTACTTTGCGTTGACGAATCAGCTCCTTGAGACTTTCCGAGTCCCTGTACCTCAGCGAGGCTTGCCGAAAGCGGACCTTAGCAAAAGCAGCCCCCAAGTCTTCAGCAGTATGATCCTCAGGCAGGGCAGAGAGTTGCTGTGCCCAAGCATCGGGCGAAAAGCACCACCTACCACAGTTAGAGGCACGTCTCCCTCTCTCTTGGGCCTTGCGACAAAAAGAAAAGTGCACCTGAACCATGTCATGATCCGAGGGAAGCGCGAGGCGGAGGTCATCTCGTTTGGTGGTGTGCCCTAGCATACCCGAATGACGAAACAAGACGAAATCAATGGGAGCCTCGAGTCCTCGCGCGTGCCAGGTGGCCCCCACATCGTCCGAGAAGCGCAACAAAAAACGGGCAGCAAGAAGTCTGAGCTGAGCGACGGGAGGGAAATGATCCACCTCGACATAGAGGGGTTGATTAAGATCGGCCCCAACAAAAACAGTGCAGTGAGAGGGCAAGGAAGACAGCGCGAGAGTGAAACATTCAAAGGTGTCCATCCAGACCTTTGCAGCATCATTTCTTTGTTCATAGGGCAGGTGCAAGGAGCCTAACAGGCAGTGGGAAGATCCCAAAAACAGTTCAACAAGGAAACCAGCCGAGAGAGCAGTAAACCTTGGCTTAGCGGGTTCCATGGCTGAATGCACAGCCACTGCAGTCGCAAGGTGTGCCTTAGTAGTGTTATGGACGTACACGACATAATCAGCATCTCCGATGGTGAGGTCGAGGGTTACTGTCTGACCAGCCTGCAAGTGGCTGAACCCTCCTACCTCCTGCAAGCAGAAAATTTCCGGTGCATCAGCAAGATTGTGAAAAAGCGGTGAAAGACTAGCGACGGGTTTCCCGTGTAGGTTCCACGTAGAACAGGTACATGCAATGGAATTCGTGGCCGTCGAGGGTGCAGAGGGTTTGGGGCTCTGCCCGCATCCCTAGCCGACAAGCCTCCTGCGAACCTCGTCTTCACTGACCTGAAGTAACGAAGAGACCTTACGCAGGGAGACCCACCATCCGCTCTCGTCGCCACG